TGACTGACTTCTCCCTGGCTGACCCCTGCCTTCTGGCTCCCTCCCAGCCTTTATAGCCCTAGGCTTGTCAGGCCAGCAGGTGTTGCCAATCCTCAGGCCGGCATCAGGATTTTTCCATCAGCTCCAATCTGCTTCCCTTGATTGGAGCTGACCGGGCAGGGGCTAATTGGGTGCTTTTGCACCAGTACCCTGCTACAAGGGGATACCAGGAAAACAAGGAATGAGAGGAGCTGGGCTGGAAACAATGAGGTCATGTGGACAGATCAGTGCTTAGGGTTTAATAGACAAGCAGAGAGCTCACCAGACATATTTGAGCCCAGCGAAGGCTGCCAAAGACCAGGTGCCTGGCTGGCTGGATAGAGTAGCAGCAGGACCATGAAAAGGTCAATGCGGGCAGGCTGAGCCCAGGGGACTGAGCTCTGGACTTGGCCAGATCAGGAGAGAGTACCAAGATGGGCTGTGCTGGTCTGGTTTCACACTGGGAGGGCTGCTGAAAAGGACACCAGCTGAGGTTACCAAGATGGGCCCCAGCTGGGTGGTTGAAAAAGGCAGTGCCTCAGGGAAGAAGCCTTAGAGCTACAGCCCCATACCAGGGCTGAGAAACTTGGACTGTATACCCCAGAAGGGGGGACAGCGTGTGCGGCTTGGCCGGAGAGTTGAGCTGCCGAAGACCAGCCAAGAGAACCAGCGGCCAGGGGGGTGTTTGTGAGGGCAGGCACTAGCCTGATGTAAGACCAAAAAAGAAAAGCAGGCTCAAACCTAACCAAGAGAAAGGAGGCCATCCATGAGAGATGGGTGCCCCTCCATGAAAAGAACGATGTTTGCAGGCACTATTAGCCAAAGAAAAGGGGATGCCCACGAAAGATGGGTGCTGACCCTGTTACAGCTCCATAGAGAGTCTTTTGGTTTGTTAAGTGACCATTAGAACTGAAATCACGGATAATCAGGTCTAAGTGCTTAGACCTGCAGTGGAGTATGTGGGGCTCTTGTGTCCTCAACCAACACTTCAAAATGCTTGTCTGGAAGTGGATGGTTGAGACGTCGATGATTGCTCTGGGGCTTGTTGGCATCTCATCTGACGTTGTTTGCAGCGCTGGTCATAATCTCTTTGAGGTTGGGCATACGGGGAAGTGTTGGGTATAAAATCTGCCATGTTTCTTTTTGTTCTAAGGGGCATATATTCCTAGGGTTTTTAATATGGCATGGGAATCCTTGAGTGTGTGTAAGGTTGCATCTGTGCCTTCCGCGAACAGTTTTTACCTTCGAAAGGTAAGTCCTCTACCGTCGCCTGAACGTCCTTGGGGAAGCCTGAAAGGTGGAGCCAGGACATGGCTCCACATGACTATGGATGTGGCGATGGAGCGGGCTGCCTTGTCAGCAGAGACCAAGGAAGCCTGTAAGGCTGTTCTGGCAATGAGGGAGCCTTCTGTTATGTTAGCTTTATATTGTTATTTTTTATCTGTTGGAAGATGTTCAATAAAAGTTGTCATTTGTGCAAAAATGTTGCGTGTGTACTTGGTCAGTAACGCAGAATAGTTTGCTATGTGAAACTGAAGGGTCACTGAGGAACAGGCTACCCTGCCAAAGGGGTCTAGGCGTTTCCAATCTTTATCATAAGGAGTGGTCCTAGCCAGATGTTGTTTTTCCCCTTTGAATAACCGCCTCCCCCACCAATGAATTAGGGGTACGGGGGGTGAACAAAAACTCGGCTCCCTTAGCTAGGACATAGTACTTCTTGTCTGATCTTTTACAAGAAGGTGGAGCTGGTGTCTGCCAGACAGTTTTTGCCGGGTCCATGATAGCAGCATTGATGGGTAGTGCAATCTTGGCAGTAGGAAATGTATGGAGAACATCTGTCAGTTTATGCTGTGTCTCCAGCAGCTCTGCCAAGGGAAGGTCGAAGGAGTCAGCCACTCGTTTAAATAATTCCTGGAAGGATTTAAAGTCATCGCCTGATGTGGGTGGAGGAGGCATTATTGTTTCGTCAGGAAACGAAGAGGAGATGTAGGTGGGTGGGATGGTGTCACCATCTGGTGGCTCTTCAATTGCTTCTGCTTCCTCCTCGAGAGCTTCTGGGGAGGCTGGGGCAGAAGGTGAAGGTGATCTCTGTAATCTTGGTGTTCTGAACCTGGATGGGTTGGAGGGCTGCATGTTCTGGGTTCTGTATAACGCCCATGGTTCCCAATATGGCCAGTTCGGTAGGAGGACCATAGGGGGTGCACCCATTGCGGAGGTTGCCACGCTATGTCTTGCTGTTGTGAGGGTCCAGGTTTGGGAGAGGAATGGTGAGGGGTGTACATTCCTTCCCCTACTTCCTCCTCCTCATCACTGGAGAGAGAAGGGGCTGAGCCAGCAGGTGTATTAGTACAATGGGGTACCGTCAGTACCAAAGAGAGGCGTTCCTGGAATAGACGTGTTGAAGAGGTCTGCCTGGCTAACAAACTGCTGCAGCACGGGTAGGCTCGGTGCCAACAGAGGAGGAAAGCTTTGGTTCTAAATCATTGTGATTGCCGCCGGTGCTGTAGACTTGCTGCAATGTATTGGTGCAGGAGGTGGCACCATTGCGCTGCTCGGTGCCAAGGTAGCAGGCTTAGCTTTGTTAAGTGTGCCTGTCTTAGAGCTAGACTGCGGGGGGTCTTTTGCTCCTTGGGCCATCCCAGTGCCTCTCGGTCCGGAGCTCTGGGTGCCGACGGTACTGGAGCAGATTTGGTGATCAGAGATCGCCTTTACTGAGGTGATTCTTGCTGAGGCGAGGAGTGAGACCGCTTTTTTTGTGGCTTTACTGCGGGACTGGGTCCTTTGCAGCTGTTTTTGAAGACGATCCCATGTCCGATGCCGCCGCGGGTGAGTGCTAGCAGGAAGGGGTCCTGTGCTCAGGATCAGAAGCAGGTCGAAGGGATTTCTCCATCATCATAAGTTTTAACTGGAGATCCCTAGCTTTTCTAGTCCTCGCTGTCAGCTTTTTTAAGTGGTGGCACTTCTGTGCGATGTCTTGCTCTACCAGACAACGGACACACTGCAAGTGACCATCTGAGACTGGTATTGACAGTCTACAGGTCAGGCAGAGTTTAAAACCTGTAGAACCAGGCATGTCAAAGAGGCTGTTCACAAATAAGGAATGGGAATAGTCCCTTCCAAGTGCCTCTGGGCTGTGAGGCAGATTTCCGCCGGAGAAGGGGGAAAAGGGGGGAGGTTTTTTTTTTCAATAGAGAAAAAATGAAGGAAGAAGTAAATAAAGAAAGGATAAAACTACAAGGGTTGAACTAAAGGAATAGCAAGATTTTTGAGGGCGCTGTTGTTGTTCCGACCGAAGCCAATGGCAGTAGAGAAAGAACGGGGGGTGGTTGTCCATACACGCTGGGTAGCTGCTCGGAGTGGTGAGAGCAGAGCCGGCTCTATGCACCAGCAAAGCAAGCAGGTGCTTGGGGCGGCACATTTGCAGGGGCGGCATTCGGGCCATCCTTTTTTTGTTTGTTTGGTTGGTTGGTTGGTTTTGGGGGGGGGCAGCTCTGTGGGCGCTCACCCAGGTAGACGCTGTCTTGGCCTCCAAGCTGACGCCTAAGTCCAGGTGGAAGAGCCGCAGCGGGTGGCCAAAGCGGGCTCTGACACGTGGAGCACGGGACACTTGGTCTGGGGGCCGCCCTGCGGGGCGCACGGAGCTGCCTGCAAATGCCGCAGCCGGGGCTGGGCCAAACAGCCCGAGCCGCCCAGGGGCTGCGGCAGGGCAGCCAGGAGCAGCAGAGGGGCCATAGAGGGGAAAGGTGCCCGGGGCGCTGCCATGCGGGGCCCACGTCCCACTCTCCGGGGCTCCGTTCCCCGCCGGCCGCTCCCTCTGAGGCTGCCCTGCCCCGGCTCCTCAGCCCCCTGCCAGGGCGGTCCCCCCACCTCTGCCCTCCCAATTCCCAGCCGGTCCTGGAGGCAGGAGTCCCGGCTGGAGGGACCCTGGGCTGAGGTGTGGCCTGAGAGCCCCGCTGCTTACCCTGACCCTGCCAGCGTCATACCGGCTGGAGGTGAGGGGGGAGCAGGCGGAGTCAGGGCCCCCCTCGGCGCCGGGAAGGAGTCGGGTGGATGCAGCCTCCGTTCCTGCTAGTGTCATGAGCGGGATGCTGATGACCCGCCCTGGGAGCAAGTTAACAATGACCCAGGGCTGGGGCGGCAGGGGGTGTGGGTGGGGGTGTGTGAGAGCCCAGGGGGTGCGGGTGTGGGAGGAAGAGCCCAGGACTGGGGCAGCAGGGGAGCACGGGGGGGAGCACAGGGCTGGGGTGGGGGGCAGCCAAAAATTTTTTTGCTTGGGGCGGCAAAAAACCTAGAGCCGGCCCTGGGTGAGAGACGGCTACCGCGTGTGCACAGCCAACTGGGGCACACCTACTGCAAATCTCCTACTAGAAGTGCAGAGGCGCACAAACACCTAAAATGGAGCACCCATAGGGACACTCCTTGAAGAAGAACCTGTCTTCCGACAGTGACCAATGGCAGGTGCTTCAGCGGGAATGAATAGAACAGGGAATCATCGAGTGATCCATCCCCTGTCATCCACTCCCAGCTTCTGGCGAACAGAGGCTAGGGACACTCAGAGCACGGTGTTGCATACCTGCCCATCCTGGCTAATAGTTATTAATGGACCTAACCTCCATGAATTTATCTATTTTTTTTAATCCTGTTATAATTTTGGTCTTCACAACATCCCTGGCAAAAGGTTCCACAGGTGACTGTGCATTGTGTGAAGAAGTACTTCCTTTTGTTTATTTTAAACTCGTCTGTCTATTAATTTCATT